TTATGAAAGTGGCAATCATTTATTATCATTATTAGTTTACTATTATTATTATCAACATCATCATCATCATTATCATTGTTTGAAAAGCATCATCATCATCATCATCATCATCATCATCATTTTTTATAAGGCCTATGATCTAGTATTATCTTCATCATCATTCGGAGAATTGTCTTTCTAAGACAAATTACAGTCTTTTCTAAGGGAATAAAACAAAGGCGCCAGGTCTGTGAGTGCGGAATTTCGCGGCTAACGACTGACTCGTGTGCTGTGCGCTCGCTCCGACTCAGACGTGCTCATGAATCATCCTCGCCGGCGTGTTGTTTAGAAGTAGCCTACCGCACTGTAACCGCGGCAAATTGAACGTTGTCTCTCTCGGGCCTTCTGTCGTGATGTTCTGTGTTTGAGATTGGCTTAGCCTAAAGGTATACGGGCAGGAGACCAGTATGGAATTCAGCTTTCTCTTTAAATGTTGAATAGAGTAGGGCCAGGTTCATGTCGTGTCAGTGGAAAGTAGAGCTAAGGGTGTTGAGGTGAAGCGTTCACGTGGGATAATTCAAAGTTCCAGATTTTGGCTGACTACCCCAAATTCAAGTTACGTTCTTTTCTGACTTCAGGGTCCAGGTCACGGAGAACAGTACAGAAGTGGGACAGACATCGATGAAAGTACTGTAGCTTACATGTTGTCATCACTTTTGTAGTTGACAAGACTTGAGAAAGTACAACAACGTGTCAAACATCAACGTCCCTTTGTGAAAGGCTTTGTGATCGTTTTATATGGTCTTTTAAAGATAGCTGCGTGTTCGGGAGTGTACTAGGTGTGATGTGTTGTGTGTTCAGGAAAAGTGCAGTTTACTGTTTAAATAAAAGTGATTGATCTCTGAACTTACAAACAAGGATATTTATGACATGCTGCGAAAAATGGCCCCCTTCTTCAAGTGCTTGTTTCAAGGAGCTGGTGAGTCATGCTATACTACTTAATATGTTTTAAGAAAATTAGCCTTGTTAAATTAGTTTTGTTGGTAAAACGTTTCTTTTGAAATGTTGACGCCACAGAAGATAAGTTCAGTTGATAACAAATAATAATTTTTTCTTTATTTTAGATCTCTATATAAAAATCAGAGGATGGCTAAAAAAAATTCTAGTTTTGTTGATAACAACATTTATCTTTTTTTTTTCTTTTCATTGATGATGCCAGTAAACCCCTGTTCATATATCATTTCCCTTATTTTTTTCTCAGTTACTTCTTGTGAAGCCTTCTAAGGGAAACATTTTAGCAGTTGTAGATTAGTAACAAAAACTTTTTTCTGTTTTTTCTTTTACTAGATCTAGATTTCTGATTTCTCTGACTGAAAATATTTTCAAGATTCCCCTTCTTTGTACTAGATCTATGTTTACAGTACTAGATCTACTTATAAGTAGTGAGGATCATGATGTTGATGAATACTGACGATGAAATTGATAATAGTGAAGCACTTAAATACTTAAATAAAATTTATTCCATGATGTTTTGGCATCATTATGTTCTTTTAAATTATGTTCAGAAACCTCTGATCAGTTTATAACAGGTAACACAGAAATACCCCCCCC